AAAGGCGCTTGCTTTATATGCTAGCTCCCGTAATCCAGCTTCATTATCTGGTGTCCACAACTAATTACATTCCATTTCCATGTAACATGTTCATTGAAGAAGTCACTTTCCAAATGATGTAACCTCATGAAGGACTGTTTCTGCTCTCAAACAATAAACAAATATATTGTAGGCTGCTAAGAAAATGTAGAAGACATAAATCTTGGTACAAGAATCTTCATTTGCAATTCAGTATCTCTATATAGCTAAATTATGTACACCTTATCTTCAACGCACCATTTGCACAGATATTCCGTGTTATGCTACTTCTGGCCTTCATGATGTATTTCTTTGTGTGTGTTTTTCACGTCTCCCATGTATCTCCACAACGCTGTATCATTTGTTTTCTCTGAAACGAAATGTACCTCCCTGTTACTTGATGTTTTCTTAATCCGATGAATGTCTCTTCATATATATCTTATCATTAGCACTCGCCACAGCTATATACTCTTTTTTTATCGCAGAATACTTTTGTCCTGCAAATATTAAAACATGGTTAGTCATAGGATAAAACCATAATCACCGGCATCTTTGGAAATATAGGGTACATCCCATGTGCTGACAGTCATGGCATCATATGTCGGAAATCTACGTGTTCCTTACATCAGATGAATGTTCCCTATCTCTTTATTCCACATAACTTTCAGTGGAACTATTCTATCTAGAAACAATTTTGGGCGAACTGAACTATAAAACGTTATGCTAAGGAACTGTCTCATTTCCCTTCACGAAGTAGATGCTACTCGTAAATATAAATAAGTAGTAAGCATCTTTCCACGTAATAATTTGATTTTTTCTTTATAACTCGGAAGAATGGTATTACCATTGGCCGTGAGACTTATACTTGTTAACGACTAGTCCAAATTCTTCAGTACGCTCTAAAATGGCTTCCATGTGATCTGCATGATCCAATTCATCTATATTCTTCAGAACTCTCAGTGATGAAGTCACAGATCCCCTGAACATAAATGGTTCATCTGCCAGTCAGAGTGCACTTCGATTAAACTGTGAATAAGCTGGCACATTTAGCCATCAGCCTCATGATAACTGGTGCTTCTTGCTGAACGGTTGCTTTTTCTGCTTCATTTTCCCATGGTATTACAGTTTGCCCGTACCTCGTGTTTACTTTCGATTCCTATCTCATATCAACCTTCGGGCATATTTCTCATAAGAATTTTGTTTCACATATTGTTCGCAGTATAAGCAATGTTACAATAAAAAGGTAGTGGCATCTAAGACAGTCTGGAACATCCAGGATCTATAATGTGTGTCCCCTTTCCATCTGAAGCGTTTACGCACATACTCTTATTCACTTACACTGTTCTTTACATGTTAGCGTAATGGCTACCTTGAGCTGGTCAAACAAATTGGCTTTTGTTCATTTATTCGTTTATTGTTGTATTCACTGCCAGCCGGAATGGACCGGCGTTCATCCAGGAGTTGCAAGGAACTCGCAGAAACCCAGTGCTTTTTAGCGCAGCATTCTTTCAAGCTGCAAGCGGCTACACTCGCTTTTGCATGGCACCTTGCAGATGAAGCCGATGTTCATCTAAACTACTTGGGGGGTTGCTGGCAAGCATTGGTTGCAACTCATTCTGGTATTTCAAAGACGTAACAGGTGCTACCAGTTTGATCACATCAACATTTAGACGACGCCTTTTATGAACCCCATCAAATCACAAGACGAACCTGGCACACCCTAACGCATGATCGGAGTCCAGGCATGTGCTCTAGAAGGAGCGGCAGTCCTATATGCATCCTCGCCACCGGAAACCGACAGCAATACGATCAATCTGAGTCCAAGCTTGCTTCGCAGAAGGAGGACGCCAGGTAGCGCTACGGCGATGGCTGTGCCGGAAGTTGGTGCTGACTAGAAATAGGTTGTGATCTGCGCAAAGCTGCAGAAGACGGTCCCCATCATCTGACCTGCGACCATGTAAGCCCCACTGACCATCTAGACGATTCTCCTCTGAGCTTAGACGCCCAACCTTTGCATTCAAGTCCCCAGCCGGCACTACGATATCCCTCCGACGCACCTGTTTCAAGAGATCGCTCAGTTGGGGGTAGAACTCTTCCTTCATTGCATCCGGGCTGCAGTCTTTCAGCGCACAGGCAAAGACAACAAACAGACACCACCTATCTGGCCTACCACTCCTTATTTTCGTGTAACCTCCCAGCGTCACAGCACATAAACGACTGTTAATGGGGATTCAGTCGAGTAGTGCAGCCTCGGCTCTGTCGCTTAGTGAGATACCGACACCAGCTACGCCGGATGCCGACGCCACAGGGTCCCCGGACAAGTGCAGGTGGTACATACTACTAGAACTTTCAGATGGAGAGGATAATCGAAGCAATTCACTGGGATCTTGAATACGGGTCTCCGAAATGCAGCAGACATCGAAAGCGAGGCTTTCAAATGTTCTTACCAATCCTGCCCGTTGTCCGATTTGCATCAGTGTCCGAACATTATAGATGACCAGCTTGGACACGGCACGCCGTTTCAGGATATCTGTGTTAGATGTCGCATTGGGGATAACCATTTTGAAGGCTACTCACTAACATCTCGAAAAGGCACAGATAGTCTGGGAACTCAGACTAAGGCGAAAGGCTGTCGAAGGTGAAGACATCAAGGTTAGCAAAGATAAAATACAGGAGTGTATGTGAAAAATAAAAGTAAAGTTGGAAAGAGACGTGAGATACTTGAGATACCATTATTGCTTGAAAGCATTGTTACGAGCGCGCAATAAGTTTCACTGATAGTTTGTTGCTTCATTTCATCTATTGTGCGAGGGCTGAGATACTGCCCGGGCGCCCAGACCTAAGCAGGTGGTTCTCTTGAGGGACCACCCCCGGGCCTTTGACTTGAAGTCTAGCCCGCAAGGCAGCGGAGCAACGTTTCCATGGTTCCCGGTGACCAATATAGGTTCATACGCCATTTGATCCGATTGAATTCTGGAGCCCATGTACTCCATGGTAACTGCTTTTAGTCTAACCGTTATCCAAACAACCTTCTGACATGCTAGGACCTGGAGGAACGTAAGTCCCAGTCAGTTTAGCTTGTTGGGTCACTGCGGTATTCAAGCCCGACCACTACGACAAGGTAGCAGTTGTCGGCTGGGTCCAGAAATATTACCATCAAACATAGAAACGTCGACGACTTAACAAAAAGCAGAATTCTTGAAGGCCATATAGTGTAACGGTAGAAGACAAAAGTCTTGGTACAAGAATCTTCATTTGCAATTCAGTATCTCTATATAGCTAAATTATGTACACCTTATCTTCAACGCACCATTTGCACAGATATTCCGTGTTATGCTACTTCTGGCCTTCATGATGTGTTTCTTTGTGTGTGTTTTTCACGTCTCCCATGTATCTCCACAACGCTGTATCATTTGTTTTCTCTGAAACGAAATGTACCTCCCTACTATTTGATGTTTTATTACGCCAATGAATGTGCCTTTATATGCTACTGATAAATCTAATCAGTAATACAGGCCAAAATAGTTAATAAAAGCGGGAAATTGGTAGGACCAGATACAATTTACCCAGAAGTACTGAAAACGGGCACAAGGACCTTAGTTAGCATGGCCATGCCACTATTGTAGAAGATTTGGAAGGATAAGTATTCATGGCTGCCTTGTCAAACTCTAAAAGAAGGACAACTTAAGCTTTTGCGAGAAGTCCAGCGGACTCAGAATCCTGTCCATCCGAAGGAAAATTATAAGCCACATATTTCTGGAGAGGTTAAAAAATGCTCTGGAAGAAAAACTTCTACCCGAACACGCTGGATTTAGGAAAAACAATTCATGTGAGGACTGGCCAAACTCCAGGACTCCAAACAGGCAATTTACATCTCCTAACCTGGTATCACTTTCATCCACATCAGTTCATTAAGACAATTCTATCACCTATTAACCTTCAAAACGTCCAATGTACTTATTTTAAGGAACGTAAATGATTTTAGGAAATGTGTGAAATTCCAGTAATTCTCAAATGCATACACATTTGTTGATTTGATTAATGTAAAACACGAGCTTATATTTTCACAAACCCCTCAACACTAACAGTCTTATTTATTTTATTTTTATTTTTGATTCACAGCTTGATTCCACACTGCTTTTTTGGTACAAGTATGGAATTTTCAGCATGGATATCGGTAGCCCAAATTTTGCAGGCCGACCATAGATATCAGGTATGCGTCGGCGGGGGTTCGAACCTCGGACCATGTGCATGGTCGGCGAGAATCCTAACCACTGTGCCACCGACGCACCAAATACTCCGTCGGAAGACAGAGCTGAAAAAAATGAGACAAGACTCATTGTATTGTGCCTCCCCACGGAAATCTTTAGTAAAAGGCAAAAGATTTATCCGCAAATGAGGAGACACCAGAGGTATAATTATTCTTGCTTACTAGAAGTCAGTACACTGTAAACATGATGAGAATATTATCAAGCAAACAAAGTGAAAGAATAGTGTGCAATATTATTTATTATCTGAATGTTGCAGAAAGCCCAGTGAAATAAAAACTTATTATGACATAGTATATATATATACTTTGTTGTAATTATTTATGCTTACAATGAATATTAGTTATATTTTTTCATCACTTCATGCAAATATACAAAGTTTTATAAATACGTTAAACAGTAGATAAATTAAAGTCTTTTCTTTACAGAAACTAAGCTATTTGAATAAAGCTCGTTTCATGATTTATTTAAATCGAAAAGATATGGGGGAATAAAAGATTCCTAAATATAGGCATTATAGAAGATTTGACTGAAATGAGACTTGATGGATAAAAGCAGTAAATAATTAAATCTATTAAAAAGTGAAACAAATCATCTGTTCAACAAGGTAGTTTTTTTCAAGTCATCAATAAGTATACTCCATTTGTAAAGTAAGAATGCTAAAATAACGTAAAAGCATAAGGTGTAGGGGGGGGGGTTAAATCATCACCATTTTTAGGGAATTAAATGACAACTTGGCCCACCTGGCGCAGAAGGTGTGGTGACAGAAGGACTATTCGATTGAGTATCACACGACATCAAATATGTGGTTGAAGAACTAGAAGCACTGCTTGAAGTAGTAGAGAATTTTATGGTTTGAATTGACACCTGTACAGAAGACAGATCACTGGCACTTGTTACAATACTTCTAGAACCAGAAGGCACAGTATTGCAGGGTATAGAGTTTATAAGCGCTCCAACACTAGGTGTTGTATTACCAGTATTACTGGTTGTCAGAAGAGTAGTATTTACGTTATCAGCAGGACGACTTGAAGGATTTTGACCTGTTAGATTTTCGTCGTCATTTGAATCAGGTGGAACAAGTAAATAAGTAATGAGGTATTCAGGATAGGCTTGTTCACCTCGGTATATAACATACTCGGAGAAATTAAGTCCACCAGCACTAGGCCGGCCTACAATTGAATGATGTCCTGGAGGTGCGTGGGCTACCTTCATGGCATTAAACTGGATGAAAGATCGTCCCAAAGCAACACGACATAGCAACAGTTGACGAGGACAAATGTAGCATGACCGAGATTTATGGGTAGGACAGCCTGCTCCTCCGCCAATACCATATACATACTGAAAAAGATAGAAAGAAGAAACCAATCAAATAAATAATTTATAACTAGGTGATCAATCAAATGAAAGCAACTCTGCCGACTGATATATTAGGATGTGAATGCCGTTATAACTAGAAAATTAATCACATGTAAACTAATCAATAAAGTCATATAAGCAACTAACTAGCCTTAGGTGCATCATCTACTACTGAATACGATGAAATGATGCATTTCCACAAGTTTTTTTCTCCTACAACTTTCAACAGGATGGGATGACAGAAACTAAATATTATTTTTTTTCTGAACCTAGACAGCTAATTTAGAATGATTACAGTAATCAATGGGGAAAAAAAGCAACATAACAACCAATTTGTACATCAGGTTCAGTAAACGCAGTCAGTTTTCTGTATTGAGAAAAGAATTATAATGAGCTTAGGCACTCTGTATACAGCGCAGAAGTGTAAATGAAAAAAAAGGTTTTTAAAAAGGATTATCCCAATCATACAACAAAACAATAACAAAAATTCATTTTATCCCGATGATGAAACTATTTTCGTTACGCTACCCGTGATCTACCCAGTTGCGATAGTCAAGTGCTAAAGTTGACAAGACACTTACCCAAAACAGAGAAACTACAAGACATACAGCAATATAAATGCATACATATATATATATATATAAACAATTAGTCCCTTTGATAAATTTGAATAAGGCATTAAGAAGACAAATTTCGCGAGATGATATTGTCATTTCGTAGTTTCTTTACAACCGCTTTACAACTAACATGGTTAGCAATAATAAAATAAAGTTCATGACAATTACTCAGTTAAATAACATAACAAAAGTACATACTAATGACTAATCATATTTAGATAGGTCATGTAGTCCAGGGGAGGCGAAGATTGAAGTCTAGTGTTTTTTGCACACACAGTTTGGGCTGTATGAAATTAATCCAAAGTGCTTCCATCACCTTCAGTAACCTTGAATTAGAGTTATGTGAAATAATTGTGAAACACTCATTAATATTGATTTTGTGACCTGACATTAATAAGTGTTTTGCAATGGATGATGCTGGATTTCTATTCAGATTAATCGCATTGGGATTTTCTACATGATTTAGTAGTCATTTTGGAACATGTTCTTTTCGACGACATTAGAACATTCTATTAGTTCTACCTATATAGGTGTCACCGCAGCTGCAGGTGAACTTTTAGATACAGTTTGAAGTAGAGTCCACAGAATTTCGTCCTTTACTCGTAGGTAAAGGAATCAAAAATGTTCGGCAAATAAAAAAAGAGATGCGGCGTAGAATGTGCGTTTGATGGCTGATCGAAGTCTTTGAGTTGTCAACTGCATAATCTGGTCGCACTTGAATGGTAGGTTAATTTAACTGGTTATTTAATTGAGTAATTGTCATGAACTTTATTTTATTATTGTTAACCATGTTAGTTGTAAAGCAGTTGTAAAGAAACTACGAAATGACAATATCATCTCGCTAAATTTGTCTTCTTAATGCCTTATTCTGATATATATAATCAAGTGTGCAGACTACAACATAAACTTGGTGTATTTATCGCAGTGAATAGTACCTTTTCACTTTAAAAAGCTTTTGGTGAATTGTAAGTGAACATAGACACTTTGTACAGAAGTATATCAGTTTAAGCTGCTAAACAACAAAAGTAAAATGATGCTAAATACTGTACAAATATGATTGAGATGGAAAAAACAACTCAATGAGACTTAGCAAATGTGCGACGGCACTTCAAGATGAGCAAATGAACAAGCATTGTGTAGAGGAATTAAACATAGTGACAGGAAAGTAGATTCATTTATCTGTATAAGAAATTAGTTCTCAAATGATAAAAATATGATACAGAGTTTTACATTTACAAGACCAATGAGCCTTGAATGGGTATTACAAATAAACTACATATTAATACCATACGTTGTTAGAAAATCGACACTTTTTATCAATTGTTCGCAAGGTTAGGTAAGCATAAAACCACAACTCAAACATTCAATTAACCGTCAGTGGCACAGTGGTTAGGACTCTCGCCAACCATGCACATGGTCCGTGGTTCGAGCCCACGCCGACGCACACCTGATATCTATAGTCGGCCTGCGAATTTGGGCTACCGATATTCACGCTGAAAATTCCACACTCGTCCCAAAAATACTGTGTGGAATCAAGCTGTAATAAAAAAAAGTATATGCTTGAAGAGTGTCATGATCCCTAAGATTATCATCAACATCATGCAAACTGACATAACTGTAGTGTTACAACAATATAAAAAGATGCTTCATTGCTTTAGCACTTCAAAAGACAAACAAATGATTGCATATAGATCTATAGGAATGTAGTGAAAAATTGAAGTCGTCTTGTAACCAACGTTATTTTCATTGTTCAGATGAGAGTAATACGCCTTCCCAAAATTAGAAAAGTTAAGTTACACAGAATATTATTTCCCAAGGCGGGTGAAACTATCCAATTTCACAGGTTAGGCACAATTCGAATCTACAGCGCATTGGCTGAAAGTTGAGTGGTTTCAACCAGTGAGCTACTCCTCCACTTTATCTTAGATTAATTATTTCGTCTCGTCTTTTACTGGCCCACCTAATATCCTGGTTATTATTATTATTCCTTTTACAAAAGAGACACTTTACATAAAGAAGTAAAGACCAGTCGGTATGATCCAGCCTCTATTTTATTGAATTCTGATCATCTTTTCTTATTCATAGCTTTCCGTTTTGCATCTCCAAAGGCAAAAGAAGAAGCAACATCAAAAGATTTTATCCTTGTACAATTAAAAATTAGGACTCAAAGTTATCTTATTTCGTAGGCATTTTGAGCAAAGGGAGAAGTGTAATGGCATTAAGTTACTGATTAAGTTACTTCGTAAAATCAACTAAATGAATATTTTCATTTCTGCTATCATTAATGTACTGTTGTCACTAACCTTCTTGTTCACTGATTAATTAGTTTCCAGTGTTAGTTTGTAGGGAATTGATTTGTTTCAAGTTTGACTACAGATTTATGCCAGTTAGAGAACAATTGAGAACTAAGGAGTACTGTTTCATCCTAGTTTGGAACTAGCCGGCAGTACGGATCCACTGGAGTAAGGTCGGATACTCGTCGATGACATTGGATGGTGGTTGCGTTTAAATCATACATTGACAGAAGTTAGAATTCATGGGCGATTGAGTAGGAGTCTCATTGGATGAATGATCTGCAAGCTTGTCTTGCAACTGGAAGGTCCTGGGTTCGAAACCCGCTGAGTGTTTACTGCCTATGGGTCCCAAGCCAGGACAAAACAGTGGTCCAGTACTCCCTGGTTTCCAATGGTTCTCTAACTGATATCGATCCGCAGTCAAACTTGATAGTCATTTTGTTGCTGTAAATATCATAAAGCTCATGTAATTACTTTTCCCATAATTATGTAATGCCAAGAAAACAACAGATGCGCTATTGTGTTACATGCTGAAAATTGCATATGGTATGAAAATATTGTTTAAAATAGACTATTATTATCACATCTCATAAATAATTCAGTATAAAACTAAATCTTTCTCTAACAAAAGAAACCAATAGAACCAAAGCCATGGCACGGAAATACAAAGTATAATGTCTAAGTAACAGCTCATAACATCGTGTATATCTGATTGACTGGTTTCAACATAGAACTTTGCACAGATATGCAGTAGTTCGAGTTTCTACACTCCATGTAGCACACAAAACAAGAGAAGAGAGTAAGGGCAGCTTCAAAAGAGAGATAATAAACAGACGTGTGAGGGAAAAATAGTAATATGGAAAAACAGTTTTATTGTATATGACAAATCACAAAGAGTGAATACATCTGCACCATTGAGAGCTATTATGAGTCATAACACCAGTTGTCTCCAGCAATTGGTTTTTATCAACCCAGGAACCTCAACCAGACAGCAGTTTGCATCTTCTAACGTGGCTTAAACTAACTGTTGTGCAATTCATTGATTGATGAAGCCATGTTTCGGTTTGACCACCACTACCCAACTCTTTTCCAATGTGATCGCGTGTCAGCTAACACTGCCTGTCTAGGCAGGCGTCACAAGTGTCCTGACCATCTCAATCGGTGTAACTTCACAACCTCGTCAATTGATTTCCCCGTCTAACTTGGCACTCGCTGCCTAATCTCATTATTGTTCACCTTCATATACCACCTAACAAGGGAGATAGAACGCAGATACCTATGATCAAAGACAGTTATTCTTTTCATGTCTTTCACTTTCAATGACCATGTCTCACAGCCAGTCACAAAGGAGGACGGTGCGAACTGGTGAGCATTGTACACGTCTTTTCGTCGACAGCCGGATATCACGTCTACTAGACCAGAGATGGCGTAAGTTGGCATATGCCAAACGAGCCTTCTGTATCCGCGCTGAGATTTCGTCAATGATCAAACCACTGGGGTTGATGCAACTTCCCAAACAAGTGACGTGGTCAACACGCTCCAGCACTCCACTCCCTATCTTTAGGTTAGGAGTCAGTGTAGTTCAGTCTTGTAGCCTCATCATCTTACATTTGACGGGAGCGAATTCCATGCCAAACTTTCGAAGTTTGCTGCTCAAGGTGTTTGGAAGACCCTGTTCTATTTTGCTGGCGCCTTCGCCTAGAAGGACTATGTCATCTGCATATCCTAAGTCAACGAGATTATTCCCTGGCAGCAAGTCAATCCCTGAGTTGCTGGAGTCAGTTAGGAATAGAAACAATAAACTCAGAAGTGCACATGACTGACGGACTAACTGACATAGAACTTTGCACAAGTGTACAAGTTCATCAGTTCAAATTACTGAATTTCAGAAAATCATTCATACAGAAGAAATGTAATGAAAATACAATGGACGAAGATATATGAAAAGATGACAATTAAATAATGATCAGTGAATATTCCCAGAATCTGCAGGATGACAAGGAGTTAAGTACGTAGACGTCATTACGAACCATTTTGCATAAAATTACTAAGAGTCTCCAATCCTGAGGACCCCAGCCAAACAATCTGTGCCTGCCTATGTGGTTCATTCAACAGTTCAAAACATCACAGATTGGTTTGATAACCCCTAGATCTTTTCCCAGCTAATCCGAATTCAGTATACATTATTCACTGGGGAAGGCAATAACTTGATACACACAGCAAATATCTTAACAACCGCTGTCTATGAAGCCTCAGAACCTTACCGATTGATTTACTTAGCTTATGTAATGCCATATCTAACCTGGTTATTACTTATCATGTTGCTCCACTCAAAGCAGGTAAGATTTCATTGATTCACTTACTTTATCCAAAATGATTCAAAAGTGCTGAAGTGTAAAATAATGCAAGTGCTAAAACTTACACTCAATTAACATCTGTATTGAATATTCTTGAAAGTAACTTATACAACAAAAAGAATTTACTTGTGGAGAAATATGCACAAACAATACATCACCAAGTGCGAAAGTGCTTATTGTAAGTATTAGATCGAACAGAATTCTCAAACACTGGGTTAACTCGATTACAACTTGAGGTCAGTAAAAAGAACTGAATATTGAAAGGTTCACTTTTCAAAGCAATTTTTTTCCAATAAAATACTAACTCATAGCGTTATTTGAAAAGTTGAAGTATTCGACCTTAAAAATTAAGAGTTGTACTTGTGCTTGGCACCCTACTAATTCCAATTTTTAGAAAACAGAATGAAAAATCATCCGTAGCAACGTATTTTTTAAGCATAAACTTGAGAATGCAGGATAAGCAAGACATTATATGATGTATTGAAGTCATTCCTTTGCTTTCCAAGTAGAACACAAGCCTTCGAGCTTGAGCCTTGAATTTTCAGTGGCAGTGATGATGTTTTCTTATGAGGTGGGTCTGTCTGTCTGTCTGTTTTCGACATAGAACTTTGCACATTTGTGTGGCTGTTCCAGTCGCCACACTCCATGTAGCATACAAAGCAAGAGAAGAAATGCATAATAGAGACAGTAAACAGAAGTGTGAGACAAAGGAATAGTAGTAACGAAGAACAAAACAGTTTCATTGGAAATCACAAGTCACAAGGAGTGGATGCATCTGCGCCATCATCGAGAGGGATTTCGAGCCATGTCACCAATTGTTTCTAACCATTGGTTTTTACCGTCCCGAGAACCCCAACCAGGAAGTCTACACCTTCCTACGTGGCTTAGACTAACTGTTGTAGATTTCATTGACTGGTGAAGCCATGTTTTCGTTTGATCTCCGATAGCTTTTTTCCAACCTGACCCTATGTCAGCTAACATTCCACGTCGGTCGAGGAAGGCGATGACTAGGCATTCATTCGTAACACATGTCCTAACCATCTCAGTCTATGTAACTTCACAACTTCGTCGATTGATTTCCCCTCCTTACCCAGAACTCGACCGATGCCTAACCTCAATACTGCTCACCTTATTATACCACTTCACACGGGAGATAGAACGGAGGCACCTATGATCAAAGACAGCTAATCTTTTCATGTCTTCCACTCTCAATGGCGACGTCTCACAGCTGGCCATAAAGGAGGACGGAGCGGAGTGATGAGCAGTACACCCGCCCTTTGGTCGACAGTAGGTTATCACGTCTACTAAGCCAGAGACGGCGTAAACTGGGTATGCGAAACTAGCCCTCTGTATCCGTACTCAGCTGAGATTTCGTCAGAGATCAACCCGTTGGCGTTGGCTGATCGTACTTCCCAAATAAGTGAAGCGGACAACGTGCTCTACCACTTTACTTCCTATTTCTAATCTAGGAGTCAGTGTAGTCCAGTCCTGTAACATCATCTTGCATTTGGCGGAAGCTAATCCCATGCCAAACATTCGTAGATTGCTGCTCAAGGTGTTTAGAAGACTCTGCATTTTGTCAGCGTCCTCGCCTAGAAGGACTATATCGTCTGCATATTCTAACTCAACGAGATTATTCCCTGGCAGCAAGTCAATCCCTGAGTCTCTGAAGTGAGTTAGTGTTAAGTCCATTATTACATCTATGATGAAGTTGAATAGAAGTGGGGATAATGGGCTGGGATTCTTGACGGACACCACTAGTCGTCACCAGTTCAGATGACAACTCGCCGTAAGCCCTCACCTGGCTGTATGAGTACGAGTAGAGTGCCTTAATCAGTGCAATGTATTTTCTCGGCATTCTCTTTACAGCCAAGCATCTCCAGAGAACTTCTCGGTCGACAGAGTCGAATGCCGCCTTTAGGTCAAGAAATATTATGACTGTTGGACGCCGGTAGGAATGCCTATGTTCTAGAATCTGTCGGAGGGTGAAGATATGATCAATACACCCTCTTCCTGGTCTAAAGCCTGCCTGGCTCTCTCGTGTTTGTGCCTCCCGAGCACCACTCAGTCTACGCATGATTATTGAGCCTAAGACTTTAGATACTATATTAGTCAAGCTAATCCCTCTGTGATTATCACAGGAACACTTGTCTCCCTTCGTGTATATGGGGATAATCAGTGACTTACACCAACCCGATGGGACTTCTTCTGATTCCCAGACGCTGCCTAGTACCTCAGTTAATGCAGACAGTAAAATGTCTCCACCGTACTTAAATACCTCTGGAGTCATTCCATCAGGTCCCGCTGCTTGCCTAGTTTCAGATTGGTGACAGCTTTAGTAACCTCAGTTAAGGAAGGAGGACCTGTGTCTATTTCCCATTCAGGGAGGTTTTGGATGTTCGGCAGGTGGGTCCGGTTTCCTGACACCCAACCTTCCCTCATTACCGGGTTAAGTACCAGCTCATCGAGGTTTAAGAGTGCGGCAGCCAGATGTGGCAGTGTGGCCGATGAGCATTCCGCCTTCAAACCACCAACACAATGAAGTACAGTTGAGTGAATTCAGCTTATGTGAAATACTTTGCCAAATACTTATGACTAATTTAAATAATCAACAATATTTTATTTCAAATAACCTTAAATTAAGGTGCTAAATTATGCTACTTCAATTAAAAAAATAGTAGACTATTTCACCGGTACCACAAACTGAAATCAGGGTCACTTGATCCCATTAACACGATTAAAACATGAAGTTTGATGCTGAGTGATGATTGAGAGTAATCAATCGAAAAATATACTCAAAAGGAACTCATGCTCCGTAGAATGTGAAACCCACTTGTTTTAAACGAGTTGCTCTTTTTATAGAAAAAATACAACTATATAAACTTTATCTAACTTGTATTACACGTGAATCGAGTAAAAATAAATAGAAGATTAAAAATAAGAATATATGCTTACTTGATTTGATTTAGATGAGTTCTCTGCAAAATATATACCAGCACCAAACATTCCACCTATATAAGCATAACGTTCATCAAATCCTTTCATTACAATTGACTGTAAAAATGGTGATCCATGAAATAACAATCTTTCATTATAATGCCCAGAATTATCTTCAGCAATCTCTGCACATCTGTGTAAATAACGATCCCATAGACGTTTATTTCTTATCCTAGCAACTTTCAGTATACGATAACGTTTATAAATACCTCCACAATTGTCTTTATGTTCTCTTATAGTACTTTGAATCTAGACAATGGAAATGGAAAAAGAGTTCAGACACAATTTATCCGATAAGGCAATATATATATATATATATATATATATATATATATATATATATATATATATATATAACACTTAAACCAAAAGGAGTCATAAAAAGAAATTTACTAACTGTGAAAAATGATAGAAAAATGAAAGAATTATTACCAGATCTCATATTTGTAAAGGTGAGTTAAACGAAGAGTAAATGATTACAGGATTTCATCATGAGGTGACATTAGTTAGAGAACCATTGGAAAACCTGGGAGTAATGGACAGCTGTTTCGTACCAGTTTGGAACTCTTCAACAGTACACACCCACCGGCTCATGATGAAATCCTGTTTTATTTATTTATTTAAACGCATAAAAACTTGGTACAATATGGCACCAAGAAGGATGCGCCACACAATAATAATAAAACAACATAGATCAAAAGAAAAAAAGAAACAGAAAAATATATATATAAGTAGAGAACGGATAAAGAACTTCACCTGGAAGGTAAACAGTCACGCTTAACAAGTTCAAACAGTATTCGTTAACTATCATCGGGAAGGGAAGAAACAAGGAAATTGCAACACGTGTCATAGCACGCGATAAGTTTCATTGATTGTTGCTTTATTTAATTCATTGTGTGAGGGCTGAGATACTGCCCGGGCGCCCAAACCGAAGCAGGTGGTTTTATTAAGGGACTACCCCCCGAGCCTTTGACTTGGAGTCTAATCCGCAAGGCAGCGGAGCAGCGTCAGGAGCTGCATTCCCATGGTTTCCGGTGACCAATATGGGTTCATACGCCATTTGATCCGATTGGATACTGGAGCCCATGTACCCCATGGTAACTACTTTTAGTTTAACCGCTATCCAAACAACCTTCCTGACATGGTAGGACCTGCAGGCACAGAGTCCCAGTCATGTTGGGTCATTACGGTATTCAAGCCCGACCACCACGACAAGGTAGCAGTTATCGGTCGGGTATGAAATTCTGTAACCAATCAAATCCCTACTAACTAACACTTGAAGAGTAAATGAATCTGAAAGTGAATCGTTTAATCTTAAGTGAATAAATTATTAAGTAACACCTTCATAAGAAAACCTTATAAACGAATTACACAAGACGTATTAGGATGAAATGTCCAGTATGACATGAGCTCTTCATTAATGATAAAGATGAAATAGCATTATGGTTGTTACTGAAGACAAAACGTAAATACAGTTCAAAACGCATTATTTATACATGCGCTTAAACTTATGAACAAACACATCGGTGTGGTATTTGAGAAAAAAGAATAGTTGTGAGAAAAACTATACATGGTTCATCATGCCAAAGTATGTAGGCAAAATACACATGAAGCAATATTCATTTCTACCTGTTCTTCAACAGCAAGAAACTCAGGATCCGTGTTATCTATTTCTATCATCACAGTATTACGAGTTGCTGCTGCAGGAAAGTAAGCAGGTCCACTTGGAGTAGCTTCAGCAACTCCGACACCATGAAAGTGTGTTGTGATCACATTAGGATTTGAAGAAGGAGAAGACGACGACGAGGAAGAAGTAGGAGAAACTGGAGTAGTTGATAGAGATACAGATGATTTGCCAGTATCGCTGGGTAAATCTGTAGACTGCTGGGAAATACAGTTTGATCTCCATCTTTGTACACCTTTGATTATTTTATGACGATGTCCATAAACAGTAACACCAAGTTCTTTTAGTTCTTCGTGTCCCATTTCGAGAAGTATATCCATTGTTACCTAATTATAAAAATTACAAAATGAACTTCGTTTAAATCAAATGAGCCAACAAAACAGATACCAACCAAAAAAAATTTGGTCAATGCTTTCGGCGTAAGTTGCCATATTGAGGTACTTAAGGAGATGAGAATTCAGTGGCGAGAGTAATCAGGTGGGTCAATTGGTTATTATAGATACTATTATTTTATGGGAAGTTCATGTTTAGTTTAAAATGTGTTCCTGGTGTTATACTTATTGCATGAAATGAACTTATTAAGAAAATATTGATATCAGGCATTGGTATATGCATCAATGTAAAATTAAGTGATGCAAAGGAGTGTACGAGTATTATAATACAAATTATAATTGAAATAAAATCAATAGCATTCACTATATATCCATTAACATACTACCATGCACAAAGCGATCAGATTAATAGATAATAACAGTGCATATTCTAGGAGGGGGGGGGAGTTTGAGAAGTATTATTATTATTATTCCTTGGGGTTCCGAGTGAAACAGCACCTCTCTGTTTCACCTAAGGTTTCCTATTCGCGTTCCACTCCAAGGGCTTCAACACTGTATCTCACACCTACTTGATCTATAAATGAATGGATAACTCAAAACAGTATTCTTATTCAATTGTTAGAAGTGTCATAGTGATAATAATAAACAAGTAAAAGTATTCTCGTTGTTTACTACTTTTTTAAAACAATTTGTTCAAAGAATTACCTACAAAATTCTAAAAATTTCACTCACCAATTCTTTTTCAAATAACTCCACTAACTGTCCTAAACCAAGCGATATGAGGAAATTGGCAGTTGATAACTTCGCATAAGCAGCAGAAGAAGATGATGAGCTAGAATTACTTGATCTAGCCAAAGTCATATTTGACGGATAAACTGAATTTACAGGATTTGCAGTAGAGACAGCCGGTGCAGGTACACATGACTCACGACCTTGACACTCTATTCGTGGACCGACCGGCAAACATGGCAATAAGTTAGAGAATGGTGTTTTTTGAGGTAAGGCCAAATCTAGATTTCCACTGGGAAAGGTATTTATGAGAGCAGAAGAAGCTGATGAGGATGAGACGAGATTTTCTTTTGAGACCGTTGTAATACAGGCAGTTGTATGAAGCATCACATCCAGAAGCAAAGATTTTACATCATCAGCTGATGCTAGATCAAAAGGTGTTTGATCTGGAAAAAAAGATTATATAGTGTGAAGAAATAGCTCTTTACTTTATACTGAAAGAGAAATATAACTCGAACATAATTTACATTATCCTGTGCTAAAGCTTCAATCCATATATATAAAGCATTTACCAATGATTTTATTCAGTTTATCTTGAGAAAATAGGTCTACTGACCAGGCCTATAGTTGATTATAGAAATTCGCCTACTTATGAATTATCTAAATATTTAGCCATGGTATTAAATCCTCTAAAAAGCTACTCGAAATCTAGACTAATTCTTATGAACTAAAACACAGATTAGATAATTTAAAATTAGATAATGAAGAAAAATGGTTAGTTTTGACATTTTCAGTTTATATACACGTATAACAATAAATATGGCTTTAGAGGCAGTCAGAAACGAACTCATTTCTGACCAAGAACTCGAACTTAGGACAAAAGTGCCACTCGAGGACATAATGCTGGGAGTGCAGATATGCCTGACTTCCACAGTATTTAAATTCCAGGGGAAAATGTACAAACAAACTGAAGGAGTTGCCATGGGATCAGCAATATCCCCGATTGTGGTAGATATATTCATGGATAGGTGGGAAAGCATAGCGATTGAAACATTCACCCCCACCCCAAAAGTGTGGTGGAAGTATGTAGATGACACATTCACTGTACTTAGAACACAAGATATAGACAGATTTTTCGAACACATCAACTCGAAGGTAGAGGCAATTCAATTCACTTATGAATTGGAAAGTCACGAAGGGGAACTTCCAATATTAGATAGCAACGTAAAAAAGGAAAGAAGATGGGAAGTTAAACACTAGTGTTTACAGAAAACCCACACATTCAAAGAGATACTTGAACTTCAGATCATCCCATCCTATGTCAGTAAAAATAGGATTGGTAAAATGCCTAACTGACAGAGCACAAAAATCGAGTAGTACTAAGGAAAATCTAAGATAAGAAATGATACACATAAAAGAAGCCTTGAAAGTTAATAATTATCCGGACAAATTAGTCAGGAAATATATAAGGAAATCTAAAAATAAAATAAATAATGATAGTAGCGATAGTGATGATAATAATAATTATTATAATAATATTAATGACGACACCAACAATAAGGAATCTAAACCATCAACAATAATTCCATACAAGGAAGAAACCTCGGAAACATTACTCAAAATTCTTAACAAGGCAAGAAATTACAGTGGCTGGCATTCAAACCCACAAACTCAATTAGAAACAAACTTTGTCGGTTAAAGGATCCTGTGGAGCCTTTAAAACAAAACAATTCAGTTTATCTAATACCCTGCAATGATTGTCAGGTCAAATACATAGGTCAAACTAGTTGAACAGGGACAGTCAGACTAGCTGAACATAAAAACTTAGCAAAATCTAGATTGGTTGACCCAAATAACATAAGAAATCTAGAGAATAGTTCAGCTACAGAACCACATGCAGTTACACACAACCATACAACAGGATGGGATAAGTTGACAGTTTTAAAATCTAATGCAACAGAGAAGAGGGAGAGATTGATAACAGAATCTTTGTTTATCGAATCAACTGCGAATACGTGAAGTAGGAATGATTCAACACCTGTCCCAGATATCTGGAAAATTCTACTACCCTTACGACAAATAGGAGAAAACAAAGAAAACTATAAAACTCAGGTTTCGAAGTCGTGTGATTACAATTGATATGATTATGAACAATAAATTTAGTTCTAAACGTCATCCAGTGAATCATACTGTTTCACTGTGTGATACATCTAATAAACAAACTAATATGGAATTACTGACCAAATACTTAAGACGTGACTACTTGATTAGGTCACAACCACCTAATTTTTTTCTATCAGTTATTTTTCTTTTTTTGATTAACTTCCCTGATTCTCTGTGATGGAACAGACGATCACAGGCAAAAAAATGAGTACGAATAAGCTGATGACATGAATAGCTAACAAAAAATTCAGACGATGAAGTACGTACAAATCACAGACAGCCCACTAAATAAAAGTTGTTAGACTTTCTGAGTTAGATATATACTAGTCAGATTTCAATTGCAATTTGCGTCATAGTATATAAAAGGACATTATATATATATATATATATATATATATATATATATATATATATTGGATTTCCACGTGATATACGCATTGAAACGTCATACATATCTTCTTCTTTTTACTGCTTACTAAAAAAAACTTAGTTCTTGCTAAATAAACAGAATAAATGACAGAATATATACCACCACTACATTGTAGAGTAACAGTTTAGAGATTTTTACCTTTAAAGGAAGACAAAATGTGAGTAAATGAAAATCAATTTTTTCATCTGATTGATGTTATACATCCATCCTCCTATACTGATTGGCCTATGCAACCACTAACAATCTCGTGATAACAATTTATAATCAATTTGAAAATTTTTACATCGATAAAGCATGTAGAAAAAATAAAAGAAAGATTTTTGATTTAAAAGATACACGTGATTGTTAGTCATAAAAATTGATCATTTTACTCACAAGTTATATGAGAATACATATATATGTATTGATATAATATCTAAAGTGTGACTTTATACAGTATATGTATGGAGTTATAAAAATTACTTCAGCCTTGACTGTTGTGGGTAAACAGATATTATGAGTTATATCGTTCTACTTATTGTTAAGCAGAGATGACTGATGCTTCAACCTGAGTAAGCCAGATAAGCTTTGAATTCGTGACTAGCTCTCCTTTGGTTGCTAGCAAAAAATAATGACTAATAGATTTTGGGTATGTGTTAGCGAATAAACGAAGAAATTATACAATCTAATTTAAGAACATAATTCGCATTTGAACACACAACGCTGGTGGCTGGTTAACAACTTAAACTAACGAACTGACTTTAGCTAGAGAACCACTGAAAACCAGAGGGTACTGGACGACTGCCTCGTCTTGGTTTGGTATTCTTCAGCAGTATCCAGTCATGACCCTACCAGAGATCTAATTTCACCCCTTAGGATTACAAAGAAAGCTCATGTCCCATTAATTCTAACTTCTGAGAATTGACGATATACAGTGTGGCTGCCAAACAATGTCATCGGTGGGTATCTGTCATCACCCGTAACTTCGGGGAACCCACTGATCACGGCTTCTCATTAGAAGATCAGGACACTTCACCAGCAGTCCCTCACTACCGAACACTAGATTAGTTATCACATGCTTGTTTGTAGGAATTTGATTTGCTTCAAGTTTGATTACGAATGAATTTCCGTCACAGAACCATTGAAAACCAAGGAGAACTGGACGGCGATTTTATCCTAGTTTGATACTCTTCAGTAGTACGCACTTGTGATAAGTCACAAACTATGCCAAAACAGCTGCCCAGTACTTCTTGGTTTCTAATAGTCCGCTAGTTGATATCAGTCTGCGATCAAACTTGAAATCAACGAAATTCCAGAGAGCCAATACTTGACAATTGATATATATATATATATATATATTTCCTTCACGTTCCCCAGTGGAACATAGGGCTTCAATCTAGAGACTTGAAGTTTCTGTAGCAGTGTTTATTTCACAGGATGGGGTTGCTAGCCTTATGCCCAACCTTTCCTCTTTACCAGGATTATTTCTGGCTCAGCGAGGTAAAGGAGTGCGTCGGCCGGGGATCGAACCCCGGACCATGTGCGTGGTCGGCGAGCGTCCTGACCGCTATGCCACCGACACACAATATAATATATATATGTATATATATAATATCATGAATTATTTATTTTTAACCAAACAAACAAATAATGGCTGCCACCTGTTGTACAAGAAATTACTCTCGTAGCCAAAGTAGTCCTTTGGATAGTACTTTGGCGTACTGGGTTCGAGTCCCAATGGGGATACCACTACTCACTTGGGATCGCAAGTGTATCTAGGTGAGGAGTCACAAATAAGACGAAATGCACATCCTAGACTCCACTGTTAGTCACAATCCAACAAATTACAGAATAAATTGTTTATTAATTCTTACTTTAACAGTAATTTATAAGAAAAATAATATAAAGTAACTAGATATATATAAAAAGGAGTGAAACCATTACATACTTTCTTGATTTCTTATTTTTGGATCTGCTCCATGAGCTAATAAAAGTGCACATAACTGAGTTCGTCCTTTTTGAGCAGCTTCATGCAATGGAGTATAACCCCATTTATCTACAGCATTTACAGAAGTTCCATAACGAATTAGAAGTGCAGCCACATCGACATGACCATATGAACTGGCATTGTGTAAAGGAATTAGACCACCTTTATCCTTGGCGTTTACATCAGCACCTGCTTCGAGTAGGAATTCCAAAACCTTAGATTGATATAATAATAAAATTGTTATTATTATTACTAAGAGCTACCAGGTTAACCAAAATATTTGTCAGAAACATTACATTATAATATATTTTAACAGAAATGAAAAAGATTGGAGTGTATGTACTTTGCAAAGTTTAATATACTTTGAAAATAAAGTAGCACTTAAGCAAAGTATATGGTGATGATGATGATAGACAAATATAACAGTTAACAGATTTAGTAGAAATAGGTCACACTAGCTAGTCTTATTTAAAAATAATAAATATTTCTAACAATCTAATAGGACATGGAATTTGGGAGTGTCTTTGTTAATTGTTAGTTTTTAGCTTTAGTGTTTTTACTGTTTTAAGACATAAAACTTTTAAAAAATTGTTTTGAAAAATAACCCTAAACAATAAACCCACTTAAGTACATTATAATTTCCAATGAAGAAATTAACATGATGTATAAGCTTCCACTCTTAACATAAGAGGTTATTCTAAAGCAAATAGTAGAATGTTCACTAACTACTCATGCGATCCGAGTTCGATTCCTAGCCAACGCAGTAATAAAGCTCACTTAGCTAATAGTAAGCATGGAAAGGAGGGAAGGTTGGAGGTGAACGTAGAAATCGCACCTCGTAAAAACAACATCACCACTGCTGAAACCTCAAAGCTTAAAGTTGCACATCCTACTCCAAAACCAAAGGAATAAAGAAGGATTACAACCTCCAGTAATCCATGTAAAGATGAATAATGGAGTGAACTATCATTACATAATAAGTGTTATAATTATATACGATAATAACTCACCTCAACATTGTTATAACCTGCAGCCAGATGAAGAGGAGTTGAATTTCTTCCCTGCGTATCACGACAGTTGATATTTTCTGAAGTCACTAAACGTTTTATTTTAGCTAAGTTTCCTTTCTTTGCTGCTTCTAAGACAGCGATATCACCACGCAAAAGGTCGTAAACATCACTTTCTGTATCCTGAAATATGAGAAATATTTTTGGAATTTTTTATAATGTTTGACCAATCAAATTTAAAGGCTAAGGAAGGAACAAAGTGGTTAACCTTTTCACTATTTATGAAAGATTATGTCGCCCACTATCCATTTTTGGAAATTGTCGTCCTTATCGGTCCACTTCATCAGTCATCAAGTGCAATAACCTCCAAAAGACTTGCGTATACAGTAGAACAGTGCTCATGTAAGGAACATGTACATAAAATAAAAACAGTAGTCCTATTTGACAACAAACGGAAGCTATTCCAGCCTACCTGAGCAAGCAGTAGTTAGACCATCTGTGGGACTGATGGTAAGTCTAAAAAGGCATCTCGAGTTTCGGGAAGAGAACTCTTAAAGTCTATCTATCTGAGCTAGAGTGCCAGCATTCAATGGACTAAGTCACAGTGCAAGATAGTCCCTTAAGATAAATCTGTTTCACGAAGGTGAATTACGAAAGATACCCTCAGCAGTCAAGTCCCATAAGGTACAAGGCTCAAACAACTTACCCCAAAGGTGAGACACTAGACAATGTTCGAGAAAATATGAAGGACTCAGGGTGCTCCACCGTTGCGCGTTTTCTTCAAAAAGAACCTACATGACGCATGCTACAATCACTAAGTATTAATCTGTTATTGATTGTCCAAAAAATTGACTTTTTCCAGGTAACCAAGTGTTCATTATTCGTTAAGAGTTAAGAAATCACAGAATGCTACCTTGTTTAACGCCTCTACGAGTTGAGGATGTGCGATTATTTTATGTTCGTCCATTTCTGTCTTCACAGAATTGCTTATATTTGATGGCATCTTGGTGGAAACCATTTCAAGGTCCAACGGTACATATTTGACTATGATGTAGATCCTGTGTCAATAAGTGACGCTAAATCAGGATACCAGCTTCGGTAATTGAAGATATGCAGGGAACGTCGTTCGGTGCCCTCCATACCATTCCCTGTTCGCTAGCCCTGAAACTGATTGAACAAAGAGAAGAGGTGATCAGTCGATAATATGGCACTGTAGGATGAAGGATAATTGTGCTGGAATAGCATCTGTTGTTTTTATACGACTTTTTATGTCGAAACTGAGAGATCATATCGGTAATGTACCAAGTTTATGTAGAAACACTTGATTGGCAAACTGTTGTATTGTAATTAAAATGCTATATATATTAGAGTAGAGCCAAAGATGAGGATCTAATTGAAAAGTAAATATTTCTTCGCTCGATCTTTCTGTTTTCTAAATAAGTAAAAGATGACACACTACACTCACCAACATCGGATGCATATTTATATAATAATTCATGCAAACAGGTTTTGAATTTGATAAAATTATGTAAGCATTCACTAAAATACCAACCGTACAACAGATGGTCAAGCAACTATTGAGAATAATATGAAGTAATCACATTTTACAAAAATCACCTAATGATGACAACGAAAAAATTTCTTCAATGCGACTTAAAGTTGGTAACAATATTCCCTACCTACACCTCATGTTACAGATTTTAATTCTATCAGACCTAATGCGATGTGGATAATTATAGAACCACAAATCAAGTGTACCTTACGGTTGATTTTATAAATTTCTGGATTATACACCTACCTTATTTTTGTTGAGAAAGTATCATATCGCTGCTCTACTGAGTGATAAAATATACCGTTCAGTCTTTTTCACAGACTGCATAGCATCTTAATTTTACTAATCTGCATAACGCGTTAATTTTGTGCCTTATCCGACTATCAACCAAAGGGCGAGTGTACTGCTCATCACTCCGCTCCGTCCTCCTTTATGGCCAGCTGTGAGACGTCGCCATTGAGAGTGGAAGACATGAAAAGATTAGCTGTCTTTGATCATAGGTGCCTCCGTTCTATCTCCCGTGTGAAGTGGTATAATAAGGTGAGCAGTATTGAGGTTAGGCATCGGTCGAGTTCTGGGTAAGGAGGGGAAATCAATCGACGAAGTTGTGAAGTTACATAGACTGAGATGGTTAGGACATGTGTTACGAATGAATGCCTAGTCATCGCCTTCCTCGACCGACGTGGAATGTTAGCTGACATAGGGTCAGGTTGGAAAAAAGCTATCGGAGATCAAACGAAAACATGGCTTCACCAGTCAATGAAATCTACAACAGTTAGTCTAAGCCACGTAGGAAGGTGTAGACTTCCTGGTTGGGGTTCTCGGGACAGTAAAAACCAATGGTTAGAAACAATTGGTGACATGGCTCGAAATCCCTCTCGATGATGGCGCAGATGCATCCACTCCTTGTGACTTGTGATTTCCAATGAAACTGTTTTGTTCTTCGTTACTACTACTCCTTTGTCTCACACTTCTGTTTACTGTCTCTATTATGCATTTCTTCTCTTGCTTTGTATGCTACATGGAGTGTGGCGACTTGAACAGCCGCACATCGATGCAAAGTTCTATGTCGAAAACAGACAGACAGACAGACTTATCTGAAAAAGTAGTGAACGGAATTGAATTGTCAGCACAGAACTTCTTTACACAAAACTCTAAGTTGTCACATCTCATAAAAATAAACTGGAAGCGAAAAGTAATTACACTTACCAAATACAGAGCATGCAAATATGTCTTCAAATGTACAACTTTCACCTAGTATTACGAATGCAAATTATAATACACTCTCATTGTTGTTATTTGAATAAATACAATGCAACTAAGGGAGAACATGACGAATATTTTCTTCAGAAAAGTAAAGGAAATTTCTTCATCTTAATAATAGAAAATTACTGACATAACCATGAATACTATTCAATATTTTTAATACTTAATAAAAAAAGAGATACCTAGATTTTGACGCATTCGAGACGTTAATTAAATACACCTTAGTCGCATCAGGAGTCAGACAAGGGTGCTCATTATCATCAATGAATGATATTCCTAATTGTGGTGGACTGACTGGATTATGCGTCAGACAGTGAGTGGGAAACGAGAAAACAGGGATATCCTGGACCGACGTGAAGAACCTACAAGACCTGGATTTCGCGCGCGGATGATTTATGTCTGATGTCACACAAAATCGAAGACTTACAAGCGAAAACCGACCGACAAACTGGTCGAAGAAGCAGCCAGAGAAGACAGGACTCCAGGTGAGCATAGACAAGACGGAGATTATGAAAATAACCAACCAACCAACAACAACAACAACAGCAACATCCAGCGCCAATCATCATCAACGGCAGGGATTTGAAAGAGGTCACTTCATTCACTTATCTAGGGAGCGTTGTCTCAACTACAGCCAGTCGGAACGGACGAGGATGTCAAATCGAGCGAGAATCGGGAAGGCAGGCGAGAAACACATTCATCAACCTGAAACCAGTCTGGAAATCTTCGACACTCAGCCAGCATCAACAACAAAATTCGGTCGGATTTTCAATACAAACGTCAAGTCAGTCAGTCCTTCTATACATATCAGAAACTTGGCGGGCGGGTCACAAAGAATATTTCCAACAGCCTGTTGCAGACCGTTATCAACCCCCAACTGTCTTCGCTCTATACTGAAGATCAGATGGCCGAGCCGGAAAGAATCACCAACAAGAAACTATGGCTGGCAACAAACAAAACAAGAACCAATTGCCAACCAAGAAATATGCAGGAGAAAGTGGAGATGGATTGGACACTCGCTCGCTGAGGAGGCCGATGGGTGACATCGTGCGAGCATCAGGCCATCACTCGAGTGGACCCAGGCCGAAAGGGAAGCGGCGAGTGGGACGTCAGTGCAAGGGTGACATGGAGGAGATCGTGTGAAGAGGAGTTGAGACAGTACGGACTAACATGGATGTAGGTGAAAAGTACAGCAGAAGATAGAAGGAAGTGGAGACGTGCAGTTGAAGCCTTATGTTCCACTAGGAACCCAAGGGAACAGTAATAACACAATAATAGTCGCATCAATTTGGTGACCACTTGATGGTGCTGAAATACACTGATAGGGAGAACTACGGGTGTAAAACAAAATTATGCAATTCACAGAGATTTATGGAAAACATGATTCTACAATTTTATGCATAAGGAATGAGAAACATACCTTAACTAGATCAATAGGAGTATGACCATCACGGTTCTTTTTCAACGGATCAGCACCATGTTTGAGTAACAGCCGGCAAATTTCAAATTTACCTTTGGCTGCTGCTTCATGTAAAGGAGTGAATCGCCAGAGATCTGTAACATTCACATTTGCTCCATGTTGAATAAGGAGTTCAGCAACCTTGAAGATGAAAGAACAATATCATAAAATAATAGTAGATGATACTCTCAAACCGATACACTTGATACACTTAACTCTCTTTAATAATCTAATATTTGATTATATTACTAAAAGTAGCACCATAACCTGCATATTAGTCTTGCATTATCAACCTCCTTACCACTAAGTCTCCTATTAATTTCCTTACTTTTCAATTCATTGTTTCATATAACTTAACTTGACAAGTAGATATTGGTACAGAATGATTAAATTATATAGTATAAATACATCACATTTTCAAAATACACTCCGTCTTTTAATAAGGCTGTCTACATTTCTTAAAACAACTTTTTGTCTTAACATGAACTTCGTCCTAAAACTTTAAGAAACACATCTTCATTTTTTCCTTTCTTGTCAACTTATTTTCTCCAGAATCCACAAAAATATTTTTTTCAGTGGCATTTCAGAAACAGGTATCAGACTTCACTTTTAATTAAAAGAAGAAGAACCACCCATTTGCAACTACCAACCTGATGTTATTTATGCCCCAGAACGCTTACCCAGTCTTTTAAAGTGTTTTGGAAGGAATGGTTATTGAAGTTAGTTTTATTCCCTTTTGGTCCCAGACCGAGTGTATCTATACTTTACTTGTTTAATTTGATTTCTGCATTGCCCATCGATTGGACCTAAATATTTTGTCTCTGTCGACATGTAGGATGCTTCGACAACGTCTGAGGATTAACACGTTATTTGGTGGATGGTGACTAGCAGTGGAATCCAGGATGCTCATTTCGTCCTATTTGGGACTAGTCAATGGAAACATCTAACAACCCTCGGGATTGCTGATACATCCAGCTGACCAAATAGAACGAAATGAGCCTCCTGAATCCCAATGGTAATTATCATCCATCAAATAACAGCATGAAAACATAGATGTTATCTGAAGCTATTTAAAAAAACACCACTTTGGATAACACACTACAAGAGAAATTACAGAAAAAAAGAGTTGAGAAAATCAGCTTAGTTTTAAAATCTTGAAGTACTTACTTTAGCGTGGCCATAAGAACAAGCATTGTGCAAAGGCACTAAACCCCCCTTGTCTTTAGCATGAACATCAGCTTTATACTGTAGAAGCAATTCTACTATAGCTAATCTGTTATAACCAGCAGCGAAATGAAGAGGTGTTGAATGTCGACCATCTATATCACGACAATTTATTAAATCGAAAGGTGCAGGAACTGAGCATGACTCCGATGACTCATTACATAATTCATTTGCAGCACCATCTGGACAAACAGAGTAATGGTGTGTAGTGATGAGACGACGGACCATCTCTACATCACCTGACTTAGCTGCTTCTAACAACTGCAGTACTATATCTGCCCAGCTTTGGCTTCCAGGATTAGGAGTGTAGTCAGTGTCTGAAGCTGGAAGAGTAGTGACACTACGACTAGTAGCTGGAATATTGCTATTACTGTTGTTGTTGTTGTTGACAGTAGGTGTCTGAGGAAACTGGACATCATAATATGCATTTGAATTGTCCAATGAATGGGATGTAGAACAAACTGGCTGCTGACTGCAAGCACTTGTGTCTTGAACTTTTTCTACACTCATATCTAGTGACGGAAAATCAAAACAACACAGAGAATATGATGTTAAAGAAGTATTATAGGGTTTAATTACTACTCAATGGTAAAATAATTTGGAAGTTCAATATGAGTGTGAATTTAGTCCATTAAAATGAAAGAAAATGTAATATAATACTAGGATAAAATATGTCGACACTGCTTGTCATTATAATTTACAACTTCCAACTTTGTAGGACAGTTGCCTGACCTTCTCTACATGGATTCAGGAACTTCGACCAACCTAAGTAGGTTTTCTTTAGATGCTCAACTATTGAGTTTTAAACCATATTTCTAAGTGTCTGGTAAGCACCTGACTGTTTAATATTTGTCCTTTAAAACTAACGAAGAACTGTAGGGGATAACTTTAAAGCAAAATACTTTCACGAATGCTTAATGATTCAACTACGCTAAAATACACAACCGCTGTTAGTTTTGGATCCAAATTTACTGTATTCTTCAGAAATTATATCGATTCGTCGAAGTAGAGGTTAAAAATTAAAAACAGTACAGACTAAGTAGCTTAATCCCTTTATTCGGACCTCGACTTTCTTTTAGTCGCCAGCATTGTGTAAATATTTTTCTCAATTAGTCAGCTATCGTTCAACTAGACAGACAGGTGAATAGAGCACCATTTCATTTTACCCTCATTCATAACCAATATAATGAGGTAAAATCAAAATAAAAGGACAAAAATGATAATAAAGGTGCTAGGTACACAAACCATCGCCTCGCATAACAGTGAGTTTTGTGACATACAAGGAATAGACCTTACTGATTTCATTCTGAGCAATTATCAAAACCACTGACCGACGTCCCCGCTAAGAACGCTTCATATAATCCCGGAAAGATAGCTATACGACTGACACCTTAGGCGAGTATATATATATATATATATATATATATACTCACCACAGGTGAGTACATCCACAACCTTCTAAACAGTAGATTCTGAAGTGTCGTACGTGAAACTTTATAGTCACATAATTTATGTATTGGTTTTTGTAGGGATTTTGTTTGATTGCATGGAGGATTTAATCATGAGCTGACATCAGTTAGAGAACCACTGGAAAACCTGGGAGTACTGGACAGCCGTTTCGTCCTAGTTTGGGACTCCTCAGCAGTACGCACCCACCGGGATTCGAACCCAGGACCTTCTGGTTACAAGGCGAGCTCGTAGACCATTGAGCCACCGGGACCCGATCCAATGGTCCTTGAATTCTAACTTCTGCCAGTTCACGCACGACATAGCGCGACCACTTCGCAATGTCTTCTTCGATGAGTTACTGCCTCATCTTCGACCTGCTGTACCCTACTGGTCACGGCTTCCCACTAGAACCCCAGGTTAACTGCCTGAATACGGCCAGTCACTAGTGAGCGTCAGATGAATTTTCAAGTATTGGTTTTTGTAGGGATTTTGTTTGATTGCATGGAGGATTTAATCATGAGCTGACATCAGTTAGAGAACCACTGGAAAACCTGGGAGTACTGGACAGCTGTTTCGTCCTAGTTTGGGACTCCTCAGCAGTACGCACCCACCGGGATTCGAACCCAGGACCTTCTGGTTACAAGGCGAGCTCGTAGACCATTGAGCCACTGGGACCCGATCCAATGGTCCTTGAATTCTAACTTCTGCCAGTTCACGCACGACATAGCGCGACCACTTCGCAATGTCTTCTTCGATGAGTTACTGCCTCATCTTCGACCTGCTGTACCCTACTGGTCACGGCTTCCCACTAGAACCCCAGGTTAACTGCCTGAATACGGCCAGTCACTAGTGAGCGTCAGATGAATTTTCAAGTATTGGTTTTTGTAGGGATTTTGTTTGATTGCATGGAGGATTTAATCATGAGCTGACATCAGTTAGAGAACCACTGGAAAACCTGGGAGTACTGGACAGCTGTTTCGTCCTAGTTTGGGACTCCTCAGCAGTACGCACCCACCGGGATTCGAACCCAGGACCTTCTGGTTACAAGGCGAGCTCGTAGACCATTGAGCCACTGGGACCCGATCCAATGGTCCTTGAATTCTAACTTCTGCCAGTTCACGCACGACATAGCGCGACCACTTCGCAATGTCTTCTTCGATGAGTTACTGCCTCATCTTCGACCTGCTGTACCCTACTGGTCACGGCTTCCCACTAGAACCCCAGGTTAACTGCCTGAATACGGCCAGTCACTAGTGAGCGTCAGATGAATTTTCAAGTATTGGTTTTTGTAGGGATTTTGTTTGATTGCATGGAGGATTTAATCATGAGCTGACATCAGTTAGAGAACCACTGGAAAACCTGGGAGTACTGGACAGCTGTTTCGTCCTAGTTTGGGACTCCTCAGCAGTACGCACCCACCGGGATTCGAACCCAGGACCTTCTGGTTACAAGGCGAGCTCGTAGACCATTGAGCCACTGGGACCCGATCCAATGGTCCTTGAATTCTAACTTCTGCCAGTTCACGCACGACATAGCGCGACCACTTCGCAATGTCTTCTTCGATGAGTTACTGCCTCATCTTCGACCTGCTGTACCCTACTGGTCACGGCTTCCCACTAGAACCCCAGGTTAACTGCCTGAATAGGGCCAGTTACTACAATAATCCCTACAAAAAACCAATACTTGAAAATTCATCTGACGCTCACTAGTGACTGGCCGTATTCAGGCAGTTAACCTGGGGTTCTAGTGGGAAGCCGTGACCAGTAGGGTACAGCAGGTCGAAGATGAGGCAGTAACTCATCGAAGAAGACATTGCGAAGTGGTCGCGCTATGTCGTGCGTGAACTGGCAGAAGTTAGAATTCAAGGACCATTGGATCGGGTCCCAGTGGCTCAATGGTCTACGAGCTCGCCTTGTAACCAGAAGGTCCTGGGTTCGAATCCCGGTGGGTGCGTACTGCTGAGGAGTCCCAAACTAGGACGAAACAGCTGTCCAGTACTCCCAGGTTTTCCAGTGGTTCTCTAACTGATGTCAGCTCATGATTAAATCCTACATAATTTATGAACAAAGGGGGTTAAATGAGTCAATTCTAGGCAAACACAGATATCAAAGATATACGACGTTGAATAATTATGGTTCACCTGAGCACATCTGAGTGAGTTTGACAATATAAAGCACACCGAAACGAGAGAATACTAGTAGTTCTAAAAGACAAATAGATGGACTTTAAATACGATGAGAAAGATAAAGCAAGGAGTTGTTGATATCACTGAGGCCAATAGTATACGATGTCCCCTACAAGATCCAGCTATCCGACTAGGATATCCCTGAACGGCACCTACCCACAATTGGAAATTTCATGAATTACTAGTAATTAATTTCGACCCAGTCACTACTAGTTATTTCAATAACTTAATTTTAATGAAGCTGAAAATGTGCACCCAAGTAAATAAAATGATGTAGCTTGATCAACGGACTCATTCGCTTTATCCAACACCGCATCGTCTACTCAATGACTCTACGGTATGCGGACAATGTTATGGAAGTAATGGCTACTAAGACTAGTATTTTTGCGAACTTTTATTTTTAATGGCTATGTTTCCTAATCATATAAAAAGACAGAGAGAATTGATGCACATTACACTAGAACATTAACATTTGAATTATTCACATATGAAGACGGAGTACTTGGTTTATTCAGCCGTATATACACTAATAAATAAGTGGTCAATCGATATCCATACCTATAACAAGTCTATTTGGATGTCTTGCCGAATACAAAACAAGAAATTCAGCTGTAACAAAAGAAGCAACATCATGATATTGAAATTGATTTTATTTAAAAAGCCACTCTGATACAATAACCTGTCAGTCAGCCTTTTTTATCCATATTTAGGTGTTCTGCTACTTTAATTTGGCAGTCCTTATGTTAATACTAATCTGCCCAGAAATAAAATTGGGTGCATGTTATAAGGCTCCTTTTATATTTATCTTTAGAAGGTTTCTCGTTGACCCTGCCTTAATCTTTCAACAGCTGTTAAATGTAAAACGGACTCACAGTATACAAAGATAAAAAAGTACTAAACACTAGTATAAAAAACACATAATAAAGATTACCTAGAAGAGATGTATAGATCGGAGGGTCATTAGTATGCTTCTCAGGTGATTTTTGAGAATTTATAGAACTATTTATTGGATTAATACTTAGATCAGCGATGACCCGGCGAACACCCTCAGTGGATGCTAGTGAAGCAGCAGTATGACCACCTGGTATAGTAGCACAATTTAAGTCTGCACCGAAGCCTTGGACCAGAAGCTGTATTATGTGAGAATGTCCATATTTAGCAGCCAAGTGTAACGGTGTAAAACCATGCCAGTCTGCAACATTCGGTTCCGCTCCACGTCGTAACAGACAGGCAGCCGCTTCCACGTATCCATAACGAGCAGCCAAGTGGAGGGGAGTTTGACCTTCAACATTGCAATCTGAAACTCCAAGGCCTTGATCAATTAACCATTCAATCAACTGTCTACCCAAAACTGGTGAAACATTACGATTGGCTGTGTCAACTGTTGTATCTGCAGTGTACTGAGTATGGGGAACAAACTGCTTGTTTTCTGCTGAGTTAAAAACTGGGTAAGATCCCGGACTGAAAGAAAATGTTCTTGTAGCATTTCGTTCTCCTGAGTTAGTTGCGCAACATGCAGTATGTAGAGCAGTATTACCAATAAATGGATGTCGGAAGTGAAGTAGGTCATGGTTTACTTGAATGGGCATAGGCAGAATAGTTTCCTGATGTTGATTTTGGAAAGGTGCTGTAGGTATATTGCACTGTTTTTGCTGTACAGGTTTTCCGTTATGACTGGAAGTACACAGGCTAGAAGAAACACTGAAGTGGACTGGAAATGATGATGCGAGAGAATAAGTATTGTTCGTAACAATATCAGAAGGTAAGGTGAGCAATTTTCGGATTTGACAAATATCTACATTTTGGCAGGCTTCAAGAAAAAGATAACCTGGAAAAGGTAAACGTACACGGATAAACACATTACCAACAGAAATTGCAAACATAGAATAGCATGAGAAGAGCGAAACTAATTGGAGTTTAAAACAAAATCAGTCAAAAAATGACATATCTCTAGTGGAGATTAACTACAACTTGTTCGTAAGAAACCGGTATAATAATTCCGTCCGATAAATGAAACGATTTCACATAGCCATATTGATCTTAATTTAATAAAGAAGTGATTATAGTTATCACAAAAATCTGGATTGAAGTAGACTTCAAACATTACAACACAACCTAGGCTACGGAACACAGCTATTGATTAAAATAAAATTGTTTCGCTCTCATTCGCACCATAACGAAGTGAAGCCTTCAGTAACTGAGGTGTAACATTAGGACTTGATAAACAACTGATTCGTGAAGCTCAATCAGTAAAGCTTTGGGTGCATAATCTGGAGATCATTGATCCAAGTTGTCTCGTTATTCTGGTTTTCTTTCTAACTTCGACACAATAATAATCTTAAGATGCACTTTTAAACAAGTTATATTCTAGTTATGCGTCAATTTAAATTTCCATAGGCAGAGAACATTTATACACTAAAATACAAGTAAAGATATTTACTAGATAAGTGAACTGGTATGCTTGAGGTACATTCTTGATGTAAATTTTCAATTTACTACTGAAGGCATGACATATACACCAAGTATACATATACCAACTTTTCAATACTATTTACACGATCCCATGATGGTTAGTCAAAAACAGTACGGAAAAAATTTTATATAAGCATAATTAGCTAAGTTAAAGAACGGACCACACCTACGTCACATGATATAAGTAACTGAGATTCTCTATCTCAAATACAACAGAGTTATCTTCCAAACACTGATAAGCACATCGAATTAGTTAACTAATGATGAAAACTCTCCCAGTTGCTTACGTTGTGGAAGTGATAGAGTTACATATGAGGAAACATTTTTTTAAATGTATGTTTGGGCAGGTCCCACAACCTCTTCATTGAATGGCCAGATTTATTTATGTGTTAATTTATTATGACAACAATATTGTTGCTGAATGTAAAAACCTATGATGGTAATCTGACCAAAGCACAGTTAAAAATCAAAACAATTAAATCCTGTGCGTTTGAAACAAATGAAGTACAAAAGATAGAAACATTTCCAAACAGTGGTAAAAGTGATTTAAAAAGCTGCTTACCACGATATTCAAAAAGTAATCTTTGCCTTAAATCATTATTCGGTACTAAGTCTAATGCAGATTTGCCATGACAATTTGGTTGGGTTGGATTTGCACCATAAGCCAAGAGAAGGAAACATACTTCAGCGCGTGCTTTACTAGCTGCTTCATGTAATGGTGTGTACTGCCATAAGTCTGCAGCATGTACTTGAGCTGAACCACAACCAGCGCCAATTAACAATTCACAAACATCCAAATGACCATAAGAACAAGCATTGTGCAAAGGAATAAGACCACCTTTATCCTTCGCGATAACATCAGCTCCATTCTTCAATAAGATTTTTACAATCTTTGTACTGAAAAACGTTCAATATACAAAGAAAGTTTGTCAGATGTAGAAATATAAACTATGGTTAAATTGGGTTTCATCTTATAAAATAAATTTAGGAGTTGATAAAGTTGCATGATCTAAATAGTTTGTTCTGAATACACCAAATTTGACGTGAGTTAATTGAAGTGTAGAAAATATCAGTTTAAAATTCTACAGAAAATCCAATTGGTGTAAGGTGCCACAATATAAGAGGAACCAAATTCAGAAAACAAAGTGATTTTGCAATGATAAAATTTATATATATATATATATATATATATATATATATATATATATATATATATATATATATATATATATATATTATAAGTAAACAAGGAACAGTTAAGTGAATATGGATAAAGATACACTACTACGATCGACTTGAAGTTTTGTAAAGGTCTCATGGCACCTATTTGTTTACAACGACATACACATTAATGAAATTTACTCTCAGTATCTTATGATTCATTATCAGGAAAGGTGGAAATACGATCTTCAAATAGGAACACATATCAGCACAAATAATAATGCCTTGAATTATAGGGATTAAGTAAAAGGGAGTCAACACATGAGTCAGACAAGGGTGCTTATTATCATCAATGAATGATATTCCTAATTGTGGTGGACTGACTGGATTATGCGTCAGACAGTGAGTGGGAAACGAGAAAACAGGGATATCCTGGACCGACGTGAAGAACCTACAAGACCTGGATTTCGCGCGCGGATGATTTATGTCTGATGTCACACAAAATCGAAGACTTACAAGCGAAAACCGACCGACAAACTGGTCGAAGAAGCAGCCAGAGAAGACAGGACTCCAGGTGAGCATAGACAAGACGGAGATTATGAAAATAACCAACCAACCAACAACAACAACAACAACAGCAACATCCAGCGCCAATCATCATCAACGGCAGGGATTTGAAAGAGGTCACTTCATTCACTTATCTAGGGAGCGTTGTCTCAACTACAGCCAGTCGGAACGGACGAGGATGTCAAATCGAGCGAGAATCGGGAAGGCAGGCGAGAAACACATTCATCAACCTGAAACCAGTCTGGAAATCTTCGACACTCAGCCAGCATCAACAACAAAATTCGGTCGGATTTTCAATACAAACGTCAAGTCAGTCAGTCCTTCTATACATATCAGAAACTTGGCGGGCGGGTCACAAAGAATATTTCCAACAGCCTGTTGCAGACCGTTATCAACCCCCAACTGTCTTCGCTCTATACTGAAGATCAGATGGCCGAGCCGGAAAGAATCACCAACAAGAAACTATGGCTGGCAACAAACAAAACAAGAACCAATTGCCAACCAAGAAATATGCAGGAGAAAGTGGAGATGGATTGGACACTCGCTCGCTGAGGAGGCCGATGGGTGACATCGCGCGCGCGTCAGGCCATCACTCGAGTGGACCCAGGCCGAAAGGGAAGCGGCGAGTGGGACGTCAGTGCAAGGGTGACATGGAGGAGATCGTGTGAAGAGGAGTTGAGACAGTACGGACTAACATGGATGTAGGTGAAAAGTACAGCAGAAGACAGAAGGAAGTGGAGACGTGCAGTTGAAGCTCTATGTTCCACTAGGAACCCAAAGGAACAATAATAATAAGTACAGGGAGTACATCAAGATACATAATACACCTACCGTATATCCACCTTAGTGTACTTGTCTTTGATCCATACCTCTTATAGGCGTCACCAAGAAACAGATAAGTAACAACTGTAGGAGTCATGGATTGATCACACAGGGTCTTGATCTATTCCACTTCAAATGAACATTGAAATCACGTGTTTCAAATAATAGAAAATGTACGACCTAGTCAAACTGATTTATACTTTCTGACCAATTTATTTAAGTAGAACACTAATATTGTTCACTTGGTAGCCTGGTCATACACACGCAATATGTTGATATAGTCGTGTTCTCTAAACTGAATAGTTCATTGGCGAAGCTTTCATCGTCCTTCTAGACATCGTCAGCGCATATTTCAGATTAAAAGTAACTATGCCATCTAGCTCAGAGAACAAAACTGGACCAATATTGCCCACCTGGATCTACAAATATCCATCACTAGTATTATAACATAGAATTTTAAGTTGTTATTCTTAAGCAAATAAGAGAAAAACAATACGATACTTACCGGTTGTAGCCTGCAGCTAAATGCAAGGGCGTCGACTTACGGCCATCTCCAGCATGGCAATTCACGTTTTGTGGAGTTAATAAGCTGATGAGTTTTTCTTCGTTGCCACTCCGAGCAGCTTCCAGTAGTTCATCCTTTCGATATTCACCTAATAAGGCTAAACGTGCTGAACCTTCAGCTAAGTCAATAGGACTTTTCCCATCAAAATTCCGAGCATGGGGATTGGCTTTGGCCTAAACCAGAAAGAAAAGCAAACAAAATTTCTCTAGATTAAAACCGCGCTTCTGACAAAAAACTTTAACCTGAGTGTACTTTAATGAATTGTACCGCGTTTAAACTACAAAATTATAGTGTAAAGATATTTTCTCTTGACAGTTAATACAATGAAAACCAGAAATTCGCATACCTTCACACAAAATATTTTTTAAACAAATTTAAAAAAGAATCACCACATTAATTAAAAATATCTTCATCTTCACAGTTTTCATTAACAATTCGAAAGTACCCACGAAAACAGTTGTTCCGTAGAACAGAAGTTACTCTTGAGTGAATAATTTTCACTATTTGGACTACAAACTAAACAATTACTAACCCATAAATTTATAGACAACTTTCATCCAGTAGTTCTCTGGGTCGAAACCTGCTTCCAGTTAATTCATATTAGGCAAATGGGTAGTAATATAAGTCCTTACACAATCAGTGTGCCTAAAAGCTTTGCAAATGGGAAGTTTGTTCCAAACAATTAAGTTCTAACCTTCCCAGTTAGCAAAATTGTTGTATGAACTTTGAAGAAACTTTGTCACTGGGAGATCTCAATAGAAGAAAAAGGTTTCAGGACTCTCATTTACTGATGAAGAACCATGAGTCAAAACCAGTTAGTCACTGTTTCACACAATGAAGCATAAATTAAGTAGTCAGTTAAATATAAACTTATAACAATGAAAAAACATCCTTTTAGTGCCAAAACGAAAAGGCAATGATGCACAATGAGAATCGTATGAAGAAAACCCAATAAATAATCTTTTCATTCCAAAATATGTACAAAAAATTTCACCTAACCCACCTGCAGTAACAAGATACAAACTTCTACTTTTCCCTTTATTGCAGCTTCATGCAGTGGTGTGTAGTTCCAACAATCTTCGGCATTTGGATCAGAACCAGCCGATAACAACAGATGTACTACTTCAACATGACCAAATGAACAAGCATTGTGTAGAGGAATTAAACCTAGAAACAGCAAAAGTAGATCCATCCATGTTTCATTTATCTGTATAAGAAATTAGTTTTCAAATGATGAAAATATGAAACAAAGTTTTACATTTAAAAGACCAATGAACCTTGAATGAGAATTACAGATGGACTACATATTAATATTATGTTGTTAGAAAATCGACACTATTTATCAATTGTTCGCAAGGTTAGGTAAGCATAAGACCACAACTCAAACATTCAATTAACCGATTACGTATAAGCTTAAATTTTCTTATGCTTTTCATGTGTTATTATCTTAAGGTTACCACAAACATTGCGCAAACTGAAATAAGTGTAGTTCTACCACGACTACAGGATACGCGGTCTCTTTAGCACTTCAAAGGAAGGACAACTGACTACATGTAGTCCAATGAAAATTACACAAAAATAAAAGTCTTTTTGTAATCACTCATTAGTACGGAAATACATATTACAAAGGTGAAGTAATAGTTCATACATCACGTACATCGAAAACACTAAGTTCAAAAGTGCCCAAGTATACAAGTATCAGTTCAAATTACAGAGCTTAGGAAACTATTCATACAAAAACGATGTAATAGAACTACAGCGAATCAAGATATACGAAATGATAAATAACGACTAGTGAATACTCAGGGACTGAAGGATGATGGGTTAATACACAAGCGCCATTATGAACGCTTCTGAGCACGACCACTAAGTCTGATGCAACTGTTACCTAATATCCCAAAGACCCAAGCCATCCAGTCTGCATTTCCCTATGTGGCACAAATCAATGATTAATGGTTTTGTGGATCATACATAAACCAACATAATCAACCGTTTCATTCCATAACTTTAAACTAGAGGACAGTGGAGACCATAACTGCAGTATCACTTTGCATCCGACAGGATTTAGTCGCATGACAAACGTACTTGGGGTTCTGCTGAAGGCACTGTCTGTCTGTCTGTCTGTTTTCGACATAGAACTTTGCACAAATGTGCGGAAGTTCAAGTCGCCACATTCCGTGTAGCACGCGAAGCAAGAGAAGAAAGTACAAGAAAAGCATAATAGAAACAGTGAGCAGAGGTGTGAGACAAAGGAGTAATAAAGAAATACAAAACAGTTTCATTGAAGATCATAAGTCACAGGGAGTGGATGCATCTGCGCCACTGAGAACGGTCTTGAGCCATGTCACCAATTGTTTCCAACCATAGATTTTTACCGTCCCGAGGACCCCAGCCTGGAAGTCTACACCTTTCTACGTGGCTTAGACCAACTGTTGTGGATTTCATTGACTGATGCCAAGTTTTTGTTTGACCGCCGCTAGCTTTTTTCCAGCCTGACCCTATATCCGCTAACATTGCTCGTCGAGGGAGGCGATGGCTTGGCATACGTAACACATGTCCTAACCATCTCAGTCTTTGTAGCTTCACGACTTCATCGATTGATTTCCCCTGTTTACCTAGAACTCTACGCCTAACCTCCATGTTGCTCACCTTATTATGCCACTTTACACGGGAAATAGAACGCAGGCACCTATGATCAAAGACAGCTAGTCTTTTCATGTCTTCCACTCTCAGTGGCCAGGTCTCACAACCATAAACGAGGACGGAGCGGACTGATGAGCAGTACACCCGCCCTTTGGTCGATAGTCGAACATCTCGTCTACGCCAGAGTCGGCGTAAACTAACAAATGCGAAACGAGCCCCTTGTATTCGTGCTGAGATTTCGTCAGAGATCAACCCGTTGGCGTTGGCTGATGGTACTTCCCAAATAAGTGAAGCGGTCAACGTTCTCTACCACTTCACTTCCTATTTTTAAACTAGGCGTCGATGTAGTCCAGTCCTGTAACATCATCTTGCATTTGGCGGGAGCTGAAGGCACTCAGAAGGCCTCATATTATCAGCATCTTCACTTATAAGGACTACATCATTTGAGTATTCTACACTAACGGAATTTTCAAGTATTGGTTTTTGTAGGGATTTTGTTTGATTGCATGGAGGATTTAATCATGAGCTGACATCAGTTAGAGAACCACCCAGGTTTTCCAGTGGTTCTCTAACTGATGTCAGCTCATGATTAAATCCTCCATGCAACTAACGGAATTATCCCATGATTTCAGAAATATCATAGAAGAAGAGTCGCATCTACATGTGAATCATGTTGAAGTTAAATAGGAGTGATGACTATGACCATTCTTGTTGGACATTACTAGTTGTCGGAACTTCAGACAACAACTCTTCATAAGCCCCTAGAGAGATACATGAGTTCCAGAAGAGTATGTTGACCAGTAAAATACACTTCCTCCTCACGACATCTCTCGATAGACAGAGTCAAGTGCCATCTTTATACAAATACTAGATCCTGCTTTCTCCCGTACACTTTCGTTTATTATGGTTTCCTTGTATTTCTTCTTCTCTTTCTCTCTTTTGCTTTAGGAAGTGTGGCAAATAGGAATGCAGTACTTTTGTGCAAAGCTCTGCATCGAAAGTTCAGTTAGTTAATTGTTGGACACTAGTCATCTTTGCCTTATTTCAGAGCCTGTGGAAGGGTGAAGATACGATCAATTCTGAAGGTCGAACTTTCCTTTAGGATTATGAAACTGTTATGTATTCGTCGCTAAATTATTGTTATGGACTGGTCGAGAAACTAATAGTCCTGACGCGAGAAGCGGAAATCAGAAGACCACTAGGTTTGCGATGATACTTCTATTGTCCAAACACAAGGAGACGAAAATAAATGGTCTCACACCAAAGTGATAAGTAAGTAAAGTAGTTCACACAGAATGTGTGAACGAAATATATATATAACAAAATATATATAGCAGACATGTCAAACAACCATATATGGATATATGTCACTAAGCAACGGACTGTCAACAAACACTCATATTATATATAATATAATATAAGGAGAATACACATTAATAAAGGAGACAAGTTCACACAAGTGAAATGGTCACAGACTAAGCGAGCAAACAGAAGAGAGACCAACATACACACACACATACATATATATATGTGGATACATATCAGAAACCTAGGATTAGAAGCTATATAAACCAAGCATACCACAGGGCAATTGTCAATGTGAGATTTGTCCCTTTTCTTACAAACTAGGGTCTATGCCAATCCCAATGGTACTACTTTGAATTTTCATAAGCCGACTAGCACCTCAATCAATAAGAAGGAATTTCGGAAATGCGGTGGGTTATAATCTGTAATAAAAATGTCATCAGTAAATGGACAATATGGTCACTGTAAAATTATTCTATTGTGGAAATACCTTGGTTAGTCTAATCAACTAGTCAACGTCGTCATTCTTGTATGTCTCTCTCAAGCTTTATCCTGCTTTAGATAAAACAGCTTTTGCAACAGTAGCTTCAGTTGAAGGATATGCTTACATCACACACAGACTGGAGTTAGATAACAGACCATTGTAGTGAAAATACAAACAGCTTAAACTGCTTCTCAATGAACCAGCGTTCTAGCCCGAGTAGCTCAGTGATAACGTCTCTGACTGCAGCACTGGGTGACGCGGGTTCGAATGTTAGAAGGGGCATGAGTTCCTGCAAGGTTGCAGACACGCCTTGGTGATGAGTGCCAACTAGCACGAAACCTAGGTCCAAGGCTTCCTGCCGATTGCCTCCAACTATCTAATATCATCAAATCAATGTCCGCCGTAATGGCGGGCTAACTAGAATGGTGGCCACATTGCAAACCTGACTGAAAGAATTCAGTATGCACCAAAGAAAAGACTAGACACGTCACACTAATTACTAGTGTCCAATCAAAATTCTAGCCGTCTCCCCTGAAGAAAATTTGAAATTTCATCCTTTCAGGAAGTCGTTTTACTCCTTTCGGAACCATTTCTTAAGTAAATCTGAGCTGCTGATTAATATTACCTTTCCTTGATGCCTGTCCAATTGCTTTTGGTTCCATTATTCCTAGGAAATACACCATATATGTGGTCTATATACTAAGCTCAACTCTAAATGAAATAATGGGGAGGACGAAAATAGCTATTTCCTCCATGTATAGGACGATTTTTTTTTCGTATGAGATGCTATTATAAACTGTTACACATCGAAGCCAAAAAGGGCAATAAAATAAAGAGAACGAACCTCCTTCATCCCTTGCAGAAACATCTGCGTTATGCTCTAAAAGAAGACTGACGACTTCTCGACGACCATATCCAGCAGCAAAGTGTAGAGGTGTGGACTTCCGACCCGAAGTATCATTGAGATTGACATTAATCCCAGTCTCAATAAGGCATTTTACAAGATTAACATCCCCGTTGCGACAAGCATCAAATATTTCCCCACTGAATGAACTAACAGATACATTTTCTGGGCAGAGAGTAGAACCAAAAGTAGTATGGCCCGTGACATGTTGATCACTGTCTCCTACCATCGTAGTACGACGCTGTGATACGTTAGAGCCTTGGATTGCCATTCTACCTAACAAAACGGCAAAAGTGTAGGGTGAAAACAAAGTTTCGAAGATACAAAACAATGTGACACAGTTACACTACAATTCCTTTTTACTTAACAAAATTTATTGTATTAATGACTCTTCTAGTCATACAGCTCTTAAAAGGTCGGTGCAATGCTTGTTTATAAAAATATATCTTGTGGAAGGAAAACGTATTTTATAGAATTTCTGGTATGAAACCGAACTCATATAGTCCACTCAATATGGTCTTTTTGATTACTGTTTTGGAGATATACAAATGAAAGTGAGTACTGAGTGCTCTTCGCTATTTAGAATCAGTAAAATTAACTACAGATAATTTTTGTGAACCTAAAACGCTTGTCTGTGAAGTTCAAACCTGAATACCTTCCAATGAACATCACTTTTGGCTCTAAATTGTTTGAAATTGTCTGACTTAGAGTTAAGTAAAAGTAGAAATGCACAATTATCACATTTGCGATTGAAACAAATGACTTTTTACATTGCGTTTAGTTTACGCGAAATGCTAGTTCTAACCAACTGAAGCTGCCGTAGGTCAACTATTATACGAGCTACGTCTACAGACAAACGACTCAAATCATAGACCAGTCATGTGGTGGATAGTTGCCACCCTGAGGTGATCACGTTTGGATATCATAGTAACCAGGTTACATTGACTGGAACGAATGTTCCAGTAGGTCCTACCACGCCATAAATATTGTTCGGACAGCGATCAGCCTAGAAGCAGTTACCATCATAGTGTGAGTCGCTAACATGTTAGGGGTCTGGTACTTGTAATTAGGGATGTGACAGGTGTAAGGTGTTCCCCTCGGACATAAGGCATTTATACTGCCTGTGCTCTAGGATGGAAAGTTAGAAAAGGCAGACCCCAAAAACTGTCTATTTCAACTTACCATGTGAAAATAGCGGAAAACCCTCACACGTACAACCCTAAAAATCATTTCAAACAGGCTGTGTGGCTGGCCTTGTCCCATGTGCTCTGTGGTTACGCAACAATCAAGCTGTTTGTGTACTCTTCTAATCAAGCAACGAACAATATAGTATCTTTTCCACTGGTTCATGAGGACATCATGCATGAATCGTAGTATCATTTCTATAACAGTTTTGCAGGAACTTTCTCCTTTAAGTTAAAAGCGTCGACAGGAAATATTTCAGTGGGATAGTGCAGGTTTCCAAGATGACATATTAACTGCTGCTTCCTTTGACATAAACAGTTCTCCTGCATAATTAACCTTTAAGTGCAGTTTATTCGGCAGGCTATTTCCGTTGGTCGTTATGTTTTAGGGTCACAGCAGATGTTTCAGTAAAAAACAATACGAATCTAATTATGGACGCTTCAAAAAGGAGAGTGGCATTTTAATGTTGTGAAATAACTTTTGCTTTGCTGTGTAAATGGTATCAGAAGCTTTTGGGTTTACTTTAACTGATTTAATTAGTTGAAGCATTGTTTTTTGTTCACTTTTGTGACGTTTTGTGTGGTTTTTATATCTGTGTTGAGGTATATTTAATTTAAACAACTTATACCGACATGAGTCTCACTAATATCGGTGGACGACCAAACTGCCACTTTCCGGTGGATGATGGGATGCAGTGTGATAACTGCAACCTATCATTTCATTAAGTTAGCACCGGCTTATCACCATCAGCCTATAGGAGATGTAGCAGGCCATTATCTCCGTGGATGTGAAAATTTTGTAGCAGCGTGTTGGACGTCCTCATGCAAGAGGCCGTAAGGACTTCATGTCCAAAAAATTGACATAACTCTCAGATGAGGGAAAAAACCAGCATCGAGAATCGATGCCAGGAATGATAATTCTGGACTGAATCATAAGACTGAGACAGAACCACATCCCGAAACGACAGACACAAAACAGGTACAGTGTGTCAAAAAGTCTGTAACGGCAAGCAAAAAGTCACAAAAATCTAAGAGGGCAAGGAATGTCAACATTGTAAGACCACTGGGTGATACTACAACGACGAAGTGTTGCTTGTCTGGTGAACGCATGGCTTCCAACTGTGGCGGGAGCAAAGTGGAAGTTACTAATTTCACTTGGTTAGTGCCAAAAACAGGAAGCTGAAGAACTGTATGAAAGAGGAAAAAACTGAGCTTAATGATAAGGTCTCTAGGGCCGTAAACACCAACACGATTGCGAAACCTTCGGACTCAAATTACAGTATCGTAATTTGGAACTTAGATGAATCAAAGAAGGTAGATCCAACCGCCCGATATGCGGTAGTTATCTCCATCATTAGTGAAGTACATCCTGAAGAAACAAATGGAGTACACATAAGGAATGTCATTAGAATCGGTAAACGAAATGCCGGTGCAACGGAAAGTTCTCGACGACTGATGAAGATTGTACTGGGGAGCGAGATGGAGCAAAGCATTACTCTCAGCAGCGCATTTAAGATCAAGGAAAAACAGACGAGAATAAGGTTCGACTGGTCACTGGAAGATAGAATTAAGAGAAGCCGTAGCTCAATTAAATTCCCGACTAGAAAAAGGTCAAAAAGACGTTAAACTGTTGGGTTTTCGGGTAGTGAGGTCTCGGAAACCTATGTCGCCTAGACCTCTGTTTGTAAATCGAGTGAACACGTAGGTCTTTCAGTATGCTATACGAGGGTGTGGTCTTAGGAATAAGCTCACTGAATTAGGAGTGTTGTCTGAAGGACTACAACACGATATGATTGCTATCACTGAAACATGGTCGTTAGTAAGTGTATACTTAACTCCTCTCATACCTAGGTACATCTAGATTAGAGCAGACAGAATAATTAATCGAAAAGGTGGTGGGGTTGCCCGAAACATCCGGGATGATTTAGAAATTAGATCAACGTTGTTGGAAGCTCATGACAGAGGCACTAGTGGAGCCGCAAGATGTGTCATTAACTTGAACAAGGGCACTGTGACAATTGGGGTTATTTATAGAAGTCCTGCCAGCTAAGCTGACGATTTCATACTAAATCACCTCAGGACGTGGAGTTGTAGAAATAGGTGTCTAATAGTACATGACTTTAATACCCCACATATTGATTGGGAGGAATTAACATCAACCACCTTGTACACTTGTTTCAACAGGGAACTCATATTGACAGTGCTTGAATGCGCACTTGGGCAGCATATAGATGCACCAATAAGATACCACCCTGAATTTGATCTATCCAGTTTAGACTTGGTGCTAACACACCAGAAAGAGGATGTCGGTGACATTAGGTGCCTGGCGCCGCTAGGCAGTAGTGACCATATAGTTATCATTTTTACCTTTAGGATTCACGCTGTCATATATAGGTCAATAGCTGCTCATTCAAACATTTGGAAAGCGAATATACCTGCAATCCGAAATGCAGCAACCCTAGCTGACTGGTCTGTTAATACACACCAGACTGTCGAGGAAACTTGGATGGGATTTAGGAATACACTAGATTGAGTTACTGCACCTTTTGTACCTTGGTCTACGCTTTGAAAACTACCGCACAAACCACCTTGGATTAGAAATGAGATAAGGAGGTTATTAAGAAGATGAAAGAACATATGGGACCGGTTTACTGTGACTGGGAGGGATGAGTTTCGGATGGAATAACGCAAAATTCGAAACCTTTGTAAGTATGTGATTGACAAAATCGTATGGGGTAGGAGAGACAATTAGAACTGGATTGTGTGTATTATCCCAAAAGACTGCACACGTATATCAAACGAACTAAAACCAGCAATAGTATACCGTCACTCATAGGCAATACTGGAGAGGCAGCCAAGTCAAACGAAACAAAAGCTCTCGGGATACTTTTGCTGTCTTTTCGTCTAATTGTACCACTCAGAGGTATAGCGAGGTCACTACTGTAGCCACTAAAATGCCCCCAATTGTGGTAGTGGATGTCGTGGTTCTCAAACTAATACCTAAAATGAAGCCAGGTAAACCACCTGAACCTAACGGACTTCATCTTAGACTGCTGATCTCCTTGGCAAATATAACATACATTCAACTTTTGTTGGTTTTTCTGATATCTCTGACCCAGAGTACGCTACCCACAGACTGGAAAGATGCTTTTATAAGCCTCATCTTCAAACAGGGGAACAGGCAATTGGTATCTAACTACCGGCCTGATATCAATTTACAACTCCACTATTCAAGAACTCGCCGCAGATGTTAGAGTAAGGTAATTCGCATGTGAAAACACTTGGTGGACTAAGATTAGCAGAGACATCAAAGGCTATGGAACGTCATTTCCTTTCTGCATATTTACTTTGTTAGTTAGAATGATTTCAGATTTTACGTTGCAAAATAAAAACAGCTGTTTAAATTACCATGATGTTGACTAGTCAACATCATGGTAATTTTTCCCGCAAATGTGCCATAGGTATAGCTTGCTATCCTATCTTATTAAAAGGAGTTGAAAGACTTCTATAATGCTCGTAACCAAATAAACGCTTATTCATTTCATTTGACTTTGTATTCTAATCAAGACGTTCCATAGATTTAGACTACAACCATGTAGCATTTGCCATACCTGAGTGTCGACGAACTTAAAAAATTTCAGTTGGGGAAAGGAGAATGACTTCAGAAGTACACTTATACATATTTATTACCAACTAATGTGCCGTAAGTTTCGCGAGCATTTGGACGTTGATGGGCTATATGATAAATTCCTGGGTGATTATTTGAAATGAAGAGAGAGGTTAGAGTAAATTAGCTTGGATAAAAAACATGATTACAATTTGGTCGCTAGTTAAACTTAGATTCATTCAGAGAAACTTACATCACAGATACAGAAAATGGTTCTTTCCCGCCATGAGATACTAGCAGCCTTGACAGTCAAGGCCGTTGATTTCAGGCGTCATTTCTCATAATAGGGGCAGCGTTCTGAAGGTAGTGTTTTGCCCTCTGTATTATAAATCTCTGAAACCTTGCATCATAACAGCCAATATTATTTGTACTCATAGCTCCAGAACTGGATCCTGCCACTATCTTATTCAAATATGGTTC